AAAAAAAAAAAAAAGAATACTTGAAAGTGTATTGTTAAAGCATGAGGATTAAGGATTTCTTCATTCATTTTTGCATTACCACAGAGTTAGTTGTAGCTTGGGGGCATTGTAAGGCTGCCATCAAGGTTAATCCAATTACAAAATGTATTATTTTTTGTCTGTTATTTTCATGATTCATGAACAATGCTAAATAGTTCGATCTTCAAAGAACCTCGATTCCCTTATGCATTCTTCATGTACATTTGTTGAGCAAACACATTACAAAATGAAGCGAAATTCATCTGAAGACAAGAATGTAACGGCTTGAAGTGGTAGTTTCTGCTTGCCTTTTGGCGTGCACGTTTTAGCACCATCGCGTACACAAGGTAGATTGGCAATGCTCCCCTTTTTCTGTTATTTGTGTTCACAGAAAATTATTTTGGCCTTGCTCTCCATCTCAGGCCAAGATTTTTGAGCCAAGAAAATCCAACCTTGATTCCATTTCTTTGAATATATCTTCGACTTACTGCAAGACCCTTTTTTTCCTCCCCTATTCTTATCCCAATTTGCCGGCAAAAATTCAAAATTGGTCCTATAACTTGGCCACTATCCAAAAAACCACTCCTATATTGACCACTTTCAATTTAGATCCTATAATTTGTCGATTTCATCAATTTTGGTCCTTTTTTATTCTTACCCTGGATTAAAAAGTGACGTGGCATGAAAAAATGACCAAAATTGATAAAATCGACAAATTATAGGACCAAAATTGACGTGCCACGTAGATCATAATCACGCCATGTAGCCTTAAAAAACTAACACGTCATGCCACGCCACTTTTTAATCTAGGGTCCGGATAAAAAGGACTAAAATTGATGAAATCGACAAATTATAGGACCTAAATTGAAAGTGGTTAATATAGGGGTGGTTTTTTAGACAGTGGTCAAGTTATAGGACCAATTTTAAAATTTTGCCCCAATTTGCCCTTTAGCTTTTCATCTACTTAAGTTTTCCATTTTTAGCCGTTGTAAAAAATAAAGAAAAAACACATTTTCAAGTATTTGTTAGGTGAAAATGAGCCACTACAGGGTGTGCATGTATAAATTCCGCTCCCCTGCCTACGGTGGGAGTGCCCACCACTTTGTTTTACATGAAAAACGTATTCTCAGAATACGTTTTTTAATTAATTTTATTGAAAAACGTATTCTCAGAATACGTTTTTCATGTAAAACAAAATGGTGGGCACTGCCCACCGTGAGCGGTTCTAGTGCATGTATTTTCAAAGTTATATATAAATCGTGACAGTACAATACATAATATTGTTAATTATATTGTACGGATTGTTACGGCAAATATCCAAGTCAAGATTTACCAAATCAATAAAGTAAAGTCTTGGACCTTTTTGCCCTTTTGAAAAAGACGCAGTTCTTTTAGACGGAGATTTGAAATGAGCTTTTTTTTGGATTTTCTTTTTAATTTATTAAAATAAAGTAAATTAAAATGTGAATTATAATTAAAATTTAAATATTTTAATTGA